GCAGTAAGATCAGAGTCAGAACTCCGGGTCGATCGTCTTCAGGCAAGTATTTGGCGACATTCGATAGCCGACTCATCTCGTCCGCAAGCTGCATAAGAGATTCCAGATCAGCGGTTCGAGATACTCTGGCCTGCGTCCGGCCAACTGTGACCCGAAGGACAGATCCCTGATTACGCTGGCGGAATAGCGTGTCCAACATGATATCGTCATCTTCATCGTATTTATCCTTCGAAGGCGTGATCAACGCGAGCAGTCGATCCAGGTCGCGCTCTTTTGGACCGAAAAGAAATTCAAATCTGATATCATTCAAAGCCACAAAAGCGGGCGCGTCGCGGTTAAATTCGAGAGGCCATGGCCCGCTAAGATTCGCCTTGTCAATCTGGATGCCCAGTCCCTCAGATCTACTGACAACTTTTACTGCCGTTGTTCTGAGTTTAATATAGTGACTTTCCCCGACGATGTTCAGCGCAATGCCACCGATTCGAGCATTCACCTTGACCGGTACTGTTCCAGGTGGCTGTGCAGTCGCCGGTGGAGGGCCACTTTCAAAGTGCACTCCGCGAGGACGCTTCGGTGTGTCCTTGCTCGGTCCCTTGCTCGAAGAACTAGAGGAAATGGAGCTTCCGAGTTCTAGAATGGTGCTCAAACCACCTACCCACCCTATGGCCTCTTCCAGGCGCTGGATGTTGAGATTAAGTTGTAATGGAAGGGTCAGGATCTCAGCCGTTGTCGCTTTCGAAGTCATTCGAACGTTCAATGAGATGTCACCTTGGCTTGATGAAGTGACATCCCTAATGGATTCGCGCATCTTGAGTTCTTCGCTGAAAGAAATCAGTTCCTCATGTGCGAATCCCACCATGAACTTGGCCACATCCAGATGTAGCATAGTAATATCATTGTTCACGGCGAAATTAGCTTTGAAGCCCGATACCACCGCTTGAAGCAGAATCTCTTCCTGATTTTGGATAATGAACGCCGAGTTATTGTCAGGAGGATATGCATGCCCAGGGACGTGGTCGACGAATTTGATCGCAAAGCTATCAAGGGAGACTCGGAAGGCTTGCGCTACTTGCGATTCTTGTGGCGGACGATGCTCTCGCGTCGTGTCATCGGCCGGACCAGCGAAGGTACTAAGGATTCTCTGTCCGACCTTGACAACAAGCCAACCGATTGCGATGTCAAATTGGATCTCTGCAGAAAATATCTCCAAACCAATGTGATCTCCCAATTCATGTTCATGCTGATTCACATCTTTGGCATCATTGACAGGGGGAACGGTCGTGTTCGAGTCACCACGAGATCGCATCAACGAGTTCAATAAGCTGTCCTCGGCCACAGAGTCCTGCAGGTGAACTGCTGATTCCTTCAAATTGTCACTCGGAACATGTCGATGTGACCTTGTGGATTCAGCCTCATCATCCTCCTGGTTAGAATCGCTAGGTGGAATCGAAATCTGGATCCTATCAATGCTGAAAAACTTCCTCGCGACGTCAGCTGACTTATGTTCTTCAGTTGAGATCCGAACAGATGGTCCCTCTTTCGGGTCAAACTGATGATCATTGTCTGGCGACTGTTGCTCAGTGGACTGTGATTGAGACAGAGTTGGCTCGGACTGGGGTGTGAGTTTCGGTGTCGATACAGAAGTCCCGTCATGGTCGTCGTGCTCATGTCCATCTTCTGAGCTACCCTGATCCGCGTTGCTTGCAACGGAATCCCTCATGACCTGAGATTCAGAGGAATCCCAAGCACCGGGCATGTTCGGCATGAAGCTTCGAGATGTAGAACCATGACTAATAGCACTCATGTACATGCTTTGTGCCTCGTCGTGGGAGAACAGCCGAGATTCACTGAGATCGCCTTGATGGAAAGACCCGGACGTTGAGCTCGAACTGTCGGTCTCTGAAGGTGGCGCGGATGTAGGTAGTGATGACTGAAAATGTGGGAATGGCTCGGGTGTTCGATCAGATTCCGTGATGAGAGCAGGTGGCGTGGATCGCGTTGGGGGCGCACTGGATTCTGGAGAGCGCGCAAGCTCATGCACTCCTGGCATTTGTGGCCGCGGTGCAAGAATCATGGCATTTGGTGTATCATGAGCTGGTTCTGTTGTCCCAGGTGCGGGTAACTGTAGCGGGCGCGGAACAAGCTCACTGCTTGCAGCCAAATGACTATTTCCTGTTGGCAGGCTTTCCAGCGCATCTAATTCGTCGTCTTGAATCTGAGAGTTGATAACAGAATCAAGGTAGGCAGGATTATCCAGCAGCTTGTCATCATTAGCGAAGTCTTGTGATTCCTCCAAGTAACCATAACTCCGGGCCTCTCCCTCTTCCGTGTCGGCATCTGAAAACCTTCCATCATAGGTGTACACGGATCCTTCTAAATCGGGCGCACTTCTGTCAAACCGTCGAGAATCCACAAGCCCAGTCGATGGCTCAAGTATAGTTGACCTGGTCATTTCGAGAGTGGAGCTCCCCGAGGAGGGACCAGGGGCAGGGGAAGAGGCTCGGCTCGGAGGTTGACTTGTCTTCGCCTGGACAAGGGTCGAGGGGGAGGCAGGAGCGGCGAATCGTGAGTAGTTGGCGAAGACAACTGGCTCTGATACCAACGCAACACTAATGTCGGAGAGCGAAATCAATCGTCTCCCTTTATGCGATCGATCTCCATCTGTGACAGGAGGCCCAGAGACGGCGTCCACCTTCACTTGACCAACCCTCAGCAATGCAGTGATCAAATCAGGTCTATCCTCTGGCTGCCTCTTGAGAGATCCATCTTGCTTCATTTCCACATCGACTCGCACGGATATGTCATCAACCTGAACCTGCAGGCGATCTACAACACCTTTGAGAAATGCGGCCACAAAGCTGGGCAAGGATACAGTCTCGTTGCCGAGACCCAGTTCCTCTTCATCATCGCTGATGGATGCCGATGTGCGATGCAGAACCTGGGACCTGGAGGAGATGGCCGCTTGTAATTCATCCTTTTCCTCCTTGGGTTCGGCTTCGAGGAACGACTGTGCGAGATCGGCAGGGTTGGGGATGAATGCGTCGGGGCTGGAGGTGTGGGGTGAGTCAGGGGCCCTGTCCCCTTGCCCAGAAGGACATGCTTCCTGCGAGAGTAGTCTCAGATGTACATCGATGCCGCTGGCTTGACATATTATACCGCTACTGTAGATGTCGGCGGGGACGGTGATCTTCAAGTATCGGACACGGGCGCTTAGGAGCTTGCTTGAGGCAGGAAGATGCAGTAGTGCAGCTAGTTTCTGAACGAAGTTAAAGGAAGAGAAAGTTAGTGGACATGAACGATGAAGAGTGTGAAGTGTCGGGTTTGAGGCACGGGCGGATCGGAGCAGTTGGACGGCCGGTTGGAAGATCGTTGCACTTACCTCAAGCCTCAAGCCGATATCCCGCAGTTCGACGGTACTGCGTTGTCCCCATCGAATCCCTAGACTATCCAGATCCAGAGCCTCAGTATCGACTAGCTCCAGGCGAGATAAGGCATAGCGGAGTAATCGTTTCTGGAAGAAAGAAGGCAAGAAGTAGGCCATTTTCGGGCGGAGGGAGCCGGCGGGGGGCTCATTTGAGGATCACAACAGTCATCTGAGCAAAAACAGAGCAAGGCAACAGGAAGGGGAAAGGAAAAGGGGGATGAGTGGATGATGCCTGGGGCTCAAGAAGCAAGCAGCCGAAAGGCAGCAGGAAGCAGGCAGCAGGGCAGGGAGCAGGAGGCAGAAAGTAGGAAGCAAATAGACCACAACAGCGGCGGCGGCGGCGGCAGCAGCAGCAGCAGCACGTAACTTCGGGAGGTGATGCGGATTGCTTCAAGGCCGGGGGGAATGACGTTCGGGGGGAAATGGGGCGGAAGAGACGCTAAGTCCCGTTGGTAAGTGGAGTTGACTGGAGAGTCAGTCAGTGCCTTAGAGAGTTAGAGTAGGAGACCAGGAGTAGGAGAAAAGAGGAGCAGGAAAGATAAGGATGGATTGTGGATGATCGACCGCAATCGATAGTCAGGCGGAAAAGCTTGGGGCTAGCCAACGAACTAACTTACCTAACCCAATTCACATACAGCATGACAACTCACACCTACGTTGATTTATCTTCTTGTTGTTCTTGACGATGATGAATCTATGAGGTGAGGTCGCCCAATGACTACAGAGGGGGAATATATGACCATCACAACCAGTGGACCGTGGCAATAGTGAATTTCAAGGCAGGACCAAACCCACAATCCATCCGTTGCCTGAGGCATGAATTCCGAACTGGTCATCGGAAACTTCAATGGTCATTGTCAAGTTCAAGTAGGACTGGTCATTTCTCCGAATGCACGTTTCTGGCACGTTCACCTGCTCCCACCATTACTGGAGATTAACTTAGTCACTTTCCCTTTCTGCTTTAGGTCTAATTGGGCGCTGCTTTCTGCTTACTAAGCCCGGAGTGCAAAGTAACGAAGTATAGAATTGAAGTGTATATCCTGAGTGATTCCTAAGTAATCCTACCAGCCCCTCAAGAAGTCCCACCTGCCAAGTATCATCAGACCCTGCTGGCACAGGGCGTGTGCGTCGATGCCGGGAGTGCAATCCCATAGGTGCCCAGTATCAGCCTTGTAGCGTCGAGGTTTCAACAGCGTCGCCCCTTGGCCATGTTCATCGCTGCCTCAGGGACTGCAATTGGTTCGACCTCTGACACCTTCTCCCCATACTCCATCAGCACCTTCACTAACCAGGCACGCACAACAGGTGCCGCCGTAGCCCTCCTTGGAGCAAGCAACAGCCCAGCTATCTAGTGCTGACCTTGGTCCGGAAGGAACCATACCTGTAGTCTAGTCCTGGTCGGATCTTGGCAGGCTCGGCCCGGCGGGGTGGAGTGCTTCTATGTCAAGTACCAGGGGTATCGGATGAGATGGGTTCCAGACCCTCAATCTGTACAGGGGCATATATCACGCTTTCAACTAATTATTTAATCCGCCATGGGTAACTTCAAGCTTAACGAAGCTAATTGCGACTTGCCATGCGCCGGATTCTGCTGGACCGGGGCCTGGATCTCCGGCTCTATGGGACAGGCGCCCTGTGCGTGGCGATTTGGGCGGGTCATCTTGATGTGGTGCAGATGCTGCTGGATCACGGCGCTTCGACGAGGCTGGGGTGTCTCTGGGAGACGACGGATCGCAGCCCCAACATGGATGGATATACCCCGGTGGGGTTTGCGGTCAAGTGGAAGCGGCTGGAGATCCTGCGTCTGTTGCTGGACAGGGGGGCTCACGCGGACCGGGCGGACTTGGAGATGGCAAGGGAGCAGGGGTTCGAGGAGGCGGTGGACCTGCTTTTGGGGTTCGAGGACTCTGCCCCGCAACCTTTGGTTACTGTTTTTGAGGAGGCCGGCGGCCTGTTGTTCGACACTCCGGTCGAGTTGCTGGAGCCAGGGCTTGTGGTACCCGAACGTGTTGAGCTTCTTGTGTTGGATGTGCCGGGGGGCGTGGCCGATGCTTCTCAAATCTGGGAGGGGATGCTCAGGTATGTACTCCGACCTGTGGAGGAGGGGGCCTCGTCCGACGAAAGGTAGCGCAGGTTGATAGTCAATCTAGAATCAACCATCTCATATAGTGGCATTACGCGATAAAATTGAGCAAGTAAAATAATCGGGGCCGAATGAAAGGATTCATCAATTATTCATCACTGCCTTCCTCCGCAAAGGTGACTGTAACCCACTCGCAAAACTGCTCAAACCTCGCCCACCAATCCTGCAAACGGCGGGCCTTGACCTTCTCGCCCAGGATGCCCTCCCCAATCTCGGACAGCCATTCACCCGCCGGCTGATCGTCGTAGCAGCTCCACCGAATTGAGTTCTCCACCAGCATTGCCAGTCCTGCAAGATCGGTGTGGTCATCATCCCCTTGAAGCACCCTCCAAATTACCTGCGTGAACCCTTCTGCCCCGCGCCCGTTGAAACTACTGCCGGAGAGAGCGACCGAAACACCCCGCGACAGCAGGGCCGGAAGAATGTGCTCGCTCCGGCTTGAGGTCGGATTGAACTCGACCAGAATCTTCTTCTCCTTGACCGACTCGGTCAGCAACGGGTGCTTGTAGAGTGTCGATCCTTCGCAGATTCTCCGCGTCCCTAGCAGGATCGCATCATATAAGTCCTGGTCGCCACGCGATCCGTCACGCGACGTCTCGCCGGCATGGAAGAGGAAAGGGATCTCCAGGCCGGCGTCCATGCACTCTTTGCGGAACCAGAACAGTAGAGGCACGAGGTCCGACAGCGGCCTCGCATCTCTTCCTGTACCCGAGATATCGAACCCAGAGATAACTTCCGGGTAATCATACTTTGCGAAAAGACAGGTTTGCATGTTATCCGCGATCTCCCTGTTCGAGAGTGAGCGACTGGCAGTCCATATGATACGCGCCCCGTAGAAGCCACGCCCTTCGTCTGTGTTCTGGAAACGACGTAATTCTTGTTGAAACACATGGCACCATTCGCTTTGGTCTTCGTCGGGCGGGTCGGTTCCTTCCCGTCGATACGGATGGCTGAAGGTATGCCTGAACTCGGCATAATCGACCCCGTCCGCTGCCAGGTGCGCGAAGACGTCTCTCAGGCAAAGACGCAAGATGGGCTCATAACTCAACAGAGAGTTGATGATCATCAATGCGCCACGACGAGCGTCGCTCGACTGCTCGTCCGCAGGGGTGCATCGCCTCTTTGACCATTCGCGGAACCCGGTCTCTCCGCCATCCGGAAAGGAAGAGACTGCCTGCTGAATAGGAACAAGTTCCGAGGCACTATAGGCAGCTGACCATATAGAGACGCTGCCTTCCACGCTTTGTTTCGAAGACGAAGCATACTGAAAGGTGACGGGCGATTCCTCTCGCGCTTCTTGAGACGACAAAGGCCGAGGGCTAGAAATGTGCAGCCCTTCTGTAGTAAGAGCAACGTCGATCAACTTATCTACGTTGATGAGGCCATGGATGGAAGCATTCAGCAGAGACCCTTTCGGCATTCTCTGCGCGATCTTCCAAAGGTCGGTTTTCCGAGCCTGTTCCCAGTCTAGAGCCGGTGGTCCATAGGTAGGCGTAGAAGCTCGAGTCAACTCCCGGTCGCGGATCTGGGACACGATCTTGCAAGCTTTGGCGGCGACTGGGGTCAGCGCTTTGCGGAGGTTGAAGTCTGAAACACCCGGTCAGTCGGGATCAATTTGACCAGTGGTCCAGGGACTGGGGAACGATTGGGGCGAGGGCTAACCATGTCGCTGTTTCTGCTCTTGCAGAATCAGAGAGTCCCGTCCTTTCAGGTACTGTTGAATGAAGGGATCTTCGACCTGAGGGATCCCTTCCTCTAGCTCCCACTCCTTGTCATCGGCAGCCATTGTTGATTAATCGAGGACACTAAATGGCAGCTTCTCGCGCATCTGTGGACTGAGCTCTTCCGTGCCTTAGTTAACTAAGGTTGGAAAGGATCCAGGAACTGCCTACGAAGGTCGGCTATTGGAACTGTTCGCAGCCAACGGAACCCATGAGGTCATAATCTCGATTGCCCCGCTTCGATCGATGGACGAGTCGGAGTTTAACCGTGAATTGAGCTAGTAGGACTAGTGGTCACCATTCCAATCTTGCACAAGTTAAGGTTAGTTGAGACGGTACTGGCTGGCTATCTATCTTCTACTAGAAAGTCCCCGCGGAATGTTCAATACGCGGCACCTCAGGCCGGGCCATCTCAAGGCTGCCGCATACGGCAAGTTACCGGTTCCGGAAGCCATGCACCTGAAATAGTAACAGGTCAGATAGTCCACTAGACTAGCTTAATGTCAGATGGTAGGAAGCTCAAGAGAAAGCGTGGTGTCGCTAGGTGACGGTTTGAATGCTATGCTAATTTACTGAGCGCCTCTTTCCGTGTAAGAAGAAGGGCGCCCTACAAGGCCCTACAAACCGAATCTAAGTTCGTTTCCATGTTCGATGCTGAGACCCAGGTACAATGCAGGTCGGGCCAGTTGGCCCGGGAATGCCCATCGCGTGGCATAAAGTGATGCTAACGTGGGCGATCACTGCCTTCGGTAGTGGAGCAATTGCAGGGATGTATGTTGATCACTTGTTGAAGTATCTACTTGCCAAGCCGAGGTAGAGCGTTCGGAGGTCTTCTCCTGGGCTTGATTTAGTCCGATATGGGAGATGATGATTTGAACTTTGCCTACATGTAAGACTGGGGAGCTAGGTAGGGGAGCAACACTTCAGATGTTCATCTAGATGTTGTTCGCTACTGCTAAGTTATTACCAGACCAAGAGAGGACTCCTACTGCTTTTTGACATGGCAGTTTTCCGAACCGAAAGATACCTTCTTATGCGTTGAAGCTCCGAGCTGCCTCGAGTGGATAGCGTGTGACTTTGTTCAAGTATATAAAAAATGAATGGAACCCTTGCCTGACCACTTCATGGTCGTTCATTTACATATATGCCTCGCAGCCAATTTAAGAATAACAAACAAGCTGAAACAGGCCAGAAGATCCCAAGCAGGACTAAAAAAGAAAGTAGGGTATTTGATTCCCGGGACCTGTAGCCTCCCAATTCCCCCACCGCTGGTCCGTCCTCACCGAAGCAAAAGAGCAAATTCGCGCCCCTCCCAAACGCATAAACTCCAGAAAAACCCCCATATGACGAGAAACAAGGTGGACCCGGGATCTGTTATGAAAGAAACCTAGGAGCCACCGCACCCTAAAAGAAAGCACACCAAGGACAACCCCATTTTATGCAATGCAACCTGATTTTCTCTTCTGTTTGCTGCGGAGCCGACCGCAACATCAAACACACATTCTCTTGGAATCTCTACTCGATGTCTTCGATGTCACGATGACGGGCAAGGACGTGTCGTTTGTACTCTTCTTGGTTGGTGTCCCAGAGCTCGGCGGCTTGGGCGTTGAGGGGGCTCGCGCTGTGGGTGTGTCAGTAATCCGAAGGTCTCCACCGGAACACGAGATGGATGGCATCATACTTGTTGGGCTCTCCAAGCAGACTCTGCAAGCTGAGCAGCACGCTCTGCACGTTGTACACGGCGCTCCATTTGTCTTTCAAGATATCGAGACAGATGCGGCCGGAGAAGTCGACGTTGGGGTGGTAGATGGGGGTCTTGAAGAGAACAGTAGGAGGAGCATAGGGGTAGTTGCTGGGGAAGGCGAACGAGAGTCGGAAGGTCAGTCCTTCGTAGGGAGTTTCAGTGGGACCACTGATGGTGGCGGTCCAGGAGAGAAGGTTGCCGTCGGCGTCTGGGAAAGCGGAGATGCCCGGAGAGGGGGAGAGCATGAGTTGCATCAGCTCAGCTTGCAGACTAGAAATCAGTCGGACGGTCAGTATCTCAGCGACCTCCGGTGATCGACAAATATATTTCAGGGTGCGGTGACGGACCGTTTGGTGACGCTCTGAGTGTCACTCCTTTGTGCTGAGGAGCCGAGCTTCGAGGTCTCGTGAGCGTCAGGAGCGGAGTTCTGAGTGTCTTCCATGGTGTAGTCCATTGTGCAGTAGAAGGTCGAAGGGAAGCTGATGAAGGAGAGTCGAAACGATGGAGAAAACTAGTGATGCAGAGAGAAGTTCCGGAAGAATGCCAGCTTTCGAGGCTAAGCAGTAGCGAGGAACAGGAAGAGATAATGAGGTAGGTTGCTGGTGGAATGAGAGCGTAGCCGAAAGCAGCACGACAGTTGGCCGGAGGGGAAGCGGATTGACCCACCGCAAGAACCCCAGAATGATCGGAATCAGAACCTTGGACGAACGGAGAGCTGAGCTGCAGCAGAAGTATGTATGTATGTCTAGCTTAGAGCAGTTTTGTAGATCCTTTTTTTTTTTTTTTGAAAATGAGAAACGGGGGAAGTAGTCTGGGTTCTTAGAGAAAAGAGAACTTAAGTGGGGGAAAGACTGTGATCGAGTGTTGGATTGATTGATTGGGGTTAGTTTTCTTCCTTTTTCCTTTTTTTGTTTACGCCCTCATCCGCCGGGCAACGCAGCGCAACCGTTCAATAGAGGACCCTGATTGATGCTCGCTGGTCATTGATGATCCACCACCACATCTGATGTCCAGAGCCTCCGTCTGACTCTCTCAGTTGACAGACCAGTGGTCATGTTAGTCATCACGGGGTTATGTCTGTACATGACGCTGTTCTGCTCAGTGTCAGTGATTCCAAAATGGTGACGAAATCACAGTCAGCACTTGACGAAAGCCCACACTTGACTGTACTGTAACTTACCAACAACACCCATAGACTACGGAGTACGGCCTGTGTTGTCTTGGCGGCTGGACAAAGCCAAAGCGCGGCACAATAACACCTGCTCCGAGGCGGTCAGCCAGTGGCTCGCATCACAAGGCCCTTGAGGGGCTCTATTCAAGTCGGACGATGTGATTATGGACTGTCATGGCACTGGCACGACACTGGCACTTTGGAGCGCTGCATGCATTAGACATTTGCAGTTGGTTGTTGATTCATCAGAACCATAATGAAATCTTGAATGATGTTTCATTACCCTGTACCCTGAGTATATCAAGACCCTGGAAGTGGTCTATGCTAGCTCCGTAGGCAAGAACATCCA